AAAGAAAATGTCAGCCATCCATGACAAAAAATGCCTTTCTGACAGAACCAGGCATTAGGGCTCAAAACTCTAATGACAGCTACATGATACATTAAGGTTGGAGAAATGCTGCAGGCCAGGATTTGAAGACCAGCCCGGGTTATGTAACAAGATGTCATCCCCAAAATAAGTACCTCTAAGAGAGATTTGAGATCCAGGGAGGGAGTTGTGAAATGCTGTTAAAGCTTAAGATTGAGAAGTGTTCAGGCCGGGCACGGTGGCTCAAGCCTGTAATCCCAGCACTTTGGGAGGCTGAGGTGGGTGGATCACGAGGTCAAGAGATGGAGACCATCCTGGTCAACATGGTGAAACCCGTCTCTACTAAAAATACAAAAAAATTAGCTAGGCATGGTGGCGCGTGCCTGTAATCCCAGCTACTCAGGAGGCTGAGGCAGGAGAATTGCCTGAACCCAGGAGGCGGAGGTTGCGGTGAGCTGAGATCGCGCCATTGCACTCCAGCCTGGGTAAGAAGAGTGAAACTCTAAGAAAAAAAAAAAAAAGAAATTTAGCTAAGTTTGTCTTCAGCGGTCAAAATAAAATATATATATTTTTTTTAGACAGAGTCTCGCTCAGTTGCCCAGGCTGGAGTGCAGTGGCCTGATCTTGGCTCACTGCAACCTCTGCCTCCTGTGTTCAAGCAATTCTCCTACCTCAGCCTCACGAGTAGCTGAAATTATAAGCACCTGCATCAGCGTCCGGCTAGTTTTTGTAATTTTAGTAGACACAGCGTTTTACCATCTTGGCCAGGCTGGTCTCCAACTCATGACCTCAGGTGATCTGCATGCCTTGGTTTTCTCAAGTGCTGAGATTACATCTATCAGCCACAGCACCGTGCTTAAAATAAAATATTTCTTAATAAAACCAAACTTAAGTTTATCTCCCTCCCTCAGTTCCTGAACTTTGAGCTACCCTTAGTCTGGGTCAACATGCAGCCCCATTTTACATCCCTCCTAAGAACATGCTGTCTTCAGGGAAAGACATCCTCTGATTTAAAATCTGACTTTTTCACCCTCCATTTGCCATTCCCCTCCCACCTTCTTTCGAATCCTAATCTTGTTTGCTCCTCCGTAGGAAAAAAAGCCCTTTTCTGCCTTCATTTTTGCAAGCCATAACGATCTTTTTTTTTCTTTTTTTTTTTGAGACGGAATTTCGCTCTTGTTACCCAGGCTGGAGTGCAATGGCATGATCTCGGCTCACCGCAACCTCCACCTCCTGGGTTCAGGCAATTCTCCTGCCTCAGCCTCCTGAGTAGCTGGGATTACAGGCACGCACCACCATGCCCTGCTAATGTTTTGTATTTTTAGTAGAGACGGGGTTTCACTATGGTAACCAGGATGGTCCCGATCTCTTGACCTCGTGATCCACCCGCCTCGGCCTCCCAAAGTGCTGGGATTACAGGCTTGAGCCACAGTGCCAGGCCGCCATAAAGATTTTACAGTTAATTGGTACTTCCTTCTGTTGCAATACTTTTTTTTTTTTTTTTTTATGAGACGGAGTTTTGCTCTTATTACCCAGGCTGGAGTGCAACGGCACGATCTCGGCTCACCGCAACCTCCGCCTCCTGGGTTCGAGCAATTCTCCTATCTCAGCCTCCCGAGCAGCTGAGACTATAGGCTGTGCCACCATGCCCAGCTAACTTTTTTGTATTTTTAGTAGAGACGGGGTTTCACCATGTTGACCAGGATGATCTCGATCTCTTAACCTAGTGATCCACCCACCTTGGCCTCCCAAAATGCTGGGATCCACCACGCCCGGCCAGATTGTAAACATTTATAATTCCCGGTATGCTTCTCTGACTCTTCAAGTACATGGGCCACTGTACAAAGAAAAAGGACTGTTAAATTCAGGAGGTAAAGGACTTTCTCTAACGAGAAGGTGGAGTAGATAGACAGCTTAGGGAAAATGTGTCAGGAAACAGAATTAAAATGGGTACAGGCACTTCCTTTGATGTTATTCAACATTAGATGTACTCCCAGTGTTCCCCCATATGTCTTATAGGACCCCTCCCATACTTGTGGCACTCCCAGAACCTCCTGAGGAGTAGGGAGAGATTGAGCTAGGACAACAGTTATAAGCACTAGGAAAAATCACCCAGGATATTTTAGCCTGGGTAAATGAAAGATGCCCTGTAAGCTTATTCGCCCCAGTTCACCCTTTCTTACCAGGTAATCGCAGGTAAATAAAGGACTGAAATGCCGTCCTTCTGAAGCCACAGTAGAAAGGACCCCAGTCTATGGTCCTGACCACTCCCACAGCCATAAAAGAGGGAGTCTCAGCCTGGATCCACCACAGCTGCATGAAGCCTGCAGCAAGTAAAACTTGGAAAGACCACACCCGACAATGACTGCAGAATCACCTTAGAAGGGACAACAAGCTGTGCTTCTCTGCCACATCCCAGAAGCTGGCTGGTCTAGGCATGGCTGAAGCATGAGGATGTTCATCGTGGGACTTATTCTTCTTAATATTTGGACTTGTACAGTAGGAACATTAACTGATTTTGGAGAATGCTCTCAGTGTGTGCACCAGGTTACTGAGGTAGGACGTAAGGTTACAGACATTCTTTTGTTCTACAGTTATTATAAAAGTACAGGGACGAGTGGGAGCGGTGGCTCACGCCTGTAATCCCAGCACTTTGGGAGACAGAGGCCGGTGGATCATGAGGTCAAAAGGTCAAGACCATCCTGGTCAACATGGTGAAACCCCGTCTCTACTAAAAATACAAAAAATTAGCTGGGCATGGTGGCGCGTGCCTGTAATCCCAGGTACTCAGGAGGCTGAGGCAGGAGAATTGCCTGAACCCAGGAGACGGAGGTTGCAGTGAGCTGAGATGGCGCCATTGCACTCCAGCCTGGGTAACAAGAGCAAAACTCTGTTTCAAAAAAAAAAAAAGGAAAGGGACACAAGAGGGAACCTGTTCATATACTGTTAATATAAGTTGTGTAATCCAGGGGAAGGACAGCCTGATGTCTGCTACAATCCATCACAGCCCCCTACGCATAACACTTTTGAAATTAAACTCCTAACAGGGTGATGGAACAGCCCTACTAATAGCTAAAACAGAGAACGGAAGCCCAAAACAGGTCACCCTAAGGTTTGATGCCTGTACAGCCATAAATGCCTATCATTCCAGTGGGGAGGACTGTGGTTCCCTTCATGGGAACAGAGTTATGCAAAAGAGCATATGTACAACTACCTAAAAGATGGACAGGTAGTGTGTCATAGGCATCATTTAAGCCTGGCTTTTTCCTTTTGTCTGCCAACACAGGTGAGCTATTAGAACATCCAGTCTACTCCGCCTGGGAGACAGGAAGTCTATAGATAGGTGAATGGGAAGATAAGTGGCCACTGGAAACAATGATTAACTATTAGGCCGGGCGCGGTGGCTCAAGCCCGTAATCCCAGAACATTGGGAGACGAGGTGGGCGGATCACGAGGTCGAGAGACCGAGACCATCCTGGCCAACATGGTGAAATCCCGTCTCTACTGAAAATACAAAAAATTAGGTGGGCATGGTGGCGCGTGCCTGTAATACCAGTTACTCAGGAGGCGGAGGCAGGAGAATTGCCTGAACCCAGGAGGCGGAGGTTGTGGTGAGCCGAGATCGCGCCATTGCACTCCAGCCTGGGTAACAAGAGCGAAACTCCGTCTCAAAAAAAAAAAAAAAAAAAGGAAAGCATTACACAGCAGGTGTGCAACAGAATGGGAATCCAGAGAATTATCATAGAATGTTGCCAACCCACTGGAATAAACTTTTAAAATAGACTTTCTGCTACTGTTATCTATATAAACAAAGATACAATCTGCAAACAATAACTACTTTGGTTTTACTCATTATAAATATTTTTTCTGCCGTTTTCCTTATGTACCATTTTATACATTCACAGATAGAACATTCAAAATACATCCAATTATTCAATTTTGCTTAAATTATTAAAATAAGTGTTAAAAATAATAATTTTATTTCTGTTTGAAGAGGCCTTTTATTGTTGTACTTCAGAGTGTTATTTCTGTAGACAATGTTGCCTGTGCTTTAAGAGGCAGGTTCTGGGGAGCATCCGAAATATATTTCATAAAATTTTACATTAGTAAATTCAATACAAAGTAGAAAGTGTAGATTTGCTTTCAGCGTTTTCAAGGTGTTTAGTTTTCTATTAGTCACCTTATTAAAATGTTTTGTTCCAGTAATTGCGCTTTTCTTAAAATATGTACAAACTCCAATTCACACACACACTTCATAATTTTCTTACAGCTAAGGTTTATCTTCAGAGTAATATGTGTATATTTAACTCTATGTAAATTAAAAATGAAAGGCACTATGTTGGCAGTCAGAGAGCACACGTTCAAAGAAAACTGTATAACAAACATTTAGTAGTAATTTTTCAGAATCTAAAATGTATGGATTTTATTTATAAATTTTTTTCTTTGAAACGGGAGTCTCACTTTGCCTAGGCTGGAGTGCAGTGCCACGATCTTGGGTCTCTGCAACCTCCACCTCCGAGTTTCAAGCGATTCTGCTGACTTAGCCTCCAGATATGAGCCAGCATGCCTGGCTAATTTTCCTATTTTTACTAGAGACTGGTTTCCATCATGTTACCCAGGGTGGTCTTGAACTCCTGACCTCAGACAATCCACCTGCCTCAGCCTCTGAAAGTGCTGGGATTACAGGTATGAGCCGGCAAGCCCAGCCAAAGATGAGTTTACATACTCAACACTCTGATTTAGTGTAACATCTGAAATGTTAGTGCCTTAGTTATTTATCTATCATAAATTCTGGTATTTATATAGAATTAACTTTGAATTAAATTTAGTATAAATTCTCTGGTGTTTTCTAAGCTGTAGCTTTTGTTTTTAATTTTGTTTTGTTTTTAGAATTTTATCTTCTTTTAGTTAACAATAATCGTACCACAGAATGAAGTAGCTTTTGGGGGGGGGGGGAGGAAGGGAGAAACAAAAGCACAAAGTCCAAAGAAAAGAACCTTTTATATTCATCTGTATAAACATATCCACTAAGGCAAACGCAATCCGGGGCCGAGGCTGCTGCGAGGGGCTTGCTGCTTCCTGATCTCTGCAGATTCTGAGGCCAAAAAATAAAACCTCTGCAAGTCGGTGTAGCTTTGAGGACTCCTGGGGCATTGCACTAAAATAAAGAGTTGAGTTTAACAAGCAGTGACACAGTTATGACACACACTGAAAGTTCTATAACTGTGGCCTCAAGGGCCACTCACTTGTTTGGAGTGTTGGTCAGTTTCACGACACAGCAAGATTCCACACACGGGCACATGAATGAAGCTGTGGCTGAACGGGGCCGGTGGCGTGGACCTGACCATGACCTGTCTGGTGCCGGGCACCAGGGGGCTGGGGTCCCCATGCTTTCTTGAGGGGATGGGCATAACAGGCAGGTCGCTGGTGATGAGGCGGTGAACAGCACTTGGGGAAGGATGGCGGGAGAGGGCTGGATAGGCCCTCACTGTCCACTGCCCAGCACATGCAAACACACTGGAAAGCACTTCTCGGACGTTTCTCGGGAGAATCAAGATGAAACTCTGGTTTCCTTCCCTAGGAAGGTGCCAATTCCTCCTCCAACCCCTCTCTCCAGAGCCCCCTGGGAGCCTTAGGGTATTCTGGTGGGGTGCTAAGGAGCAGTGTCTCCGACCCCCAGAATCTTCCCTGCCCTTTGATTGCACAGCATACTTGGCAGGGGGTGGCCCTGTGAGGTAGATTGGCACAGCTGCCCCCAAACCCTGCCTGGCTGGGCCCCAGAGATCTGGGGGTTTCCAAATCAGCCTGGGGGGCCTGGGTCCCTTCACCAGAAAAGAAGCTCCCCACCCCATACCCCATTTCAGCAGATAGAAGAGGCAGAGGTGGAGGAAAAGACCCTAGGGAGGGGTCCCCTGGTGCCTCCAATAAGCCCCTTGGGTCCCAGTCTGCGGGAGCAGCCCTGATCCTCTCTCTTCTGCTATCTCCCAGTCTGGGAAGGGGCTGGCAGGGGGTCCCAGGGGCGGTGCAGCCTGCTGGAGGAGGGCAGGGGTCCCTGGGTGGCGGGGATGGGAATGCATGGAGGGCAGGCAAACGGGCCGGGAAGGACCCAGGGCCAGGAGCTGGGCCGGGGGCTGCACTGGAGAAGGCAGCTGGGCAGTCAGGGGTGCAAGATCTCCCAGGGATTGCCAGGGAGGGCTGGGCCAAGCAGAGAGCCAGTGCCTGCGTCACGGCATCGAGAAAAGCAGAAGGGGGGGGGGGCCGGGCCACCTCCTTCAGACCCCTGAACTTGCTCCGATCACAGACATTTTTAGGGTTTTAGTATGGTCCCCACAGACAGAGGCAAGGATTCAGGCTCAGCCTCCTATGTGCCACCCTTGCCCACCACAGTGGGGCCGGGACAGGTGGTCAGCTGCAGCCTCCGCTACTTAAAGGTGGACTGCAGCTCCTTGAAGGCCGCTTTCCGCTGCTTCATCTCCGCATGCTTCCTTTCCTCCTGCTCCGACTTGATCTCCTCCTTAAAGCGGCTGGACACGTTGATGGCCTGGACCTTGGCCTCAAAGAAGGTCTTGGCCCCCTCGATGCCCTCACTGGGGATGTTGATCTCGGAGAGGTGGGCCAGCACGCACAGCGCACTGTCCTCCTCAAGCTCCCTGGCTGCCGCCTTTCAGAAGATCAGGAGGAACTCCTGGAAGCTCAGCTTGCTGTCAAAGTCCTCATCCACCTCCTTGATCATGCTTTTTAGGCCCAGGTGGGTCTGGGGGGGCCCCAAGTTTCTCCATCATGAGCTTTAGCTCCATCAGGTCGATGAAGCCATCCCGCCCGGCATCATAAACATCTTCTCCATGTCCTTGATCTGCTTCCTGGAGAACTCCTGGAACTTGGTACTAAGCCTCACCGCCACCTTCACCCTCCAACTGCAGCCACTGGCTCAACTTGGTGGCCAGCTCGTCAGTGACTGTGGTGGCCCCCGCAGCACTTGCCTCGACCTGGCCCCTGCTCCCCGGGCCAGCGGTAGCTTTTGAATTAAAAATTATTCCGCAATTCATTACATTTGCAGGACTCTTCTCTAATTCACTGAATTTGAACAATGCTTGAGCAACTTCTGTAGGTTATCCTTTAGTACAAAATGTGTGCAATGAGATCTGTAACACAACTAAAGGTACTACAACACTGTTTATATTTGTAATCGTTTCTGAGAATACTTTTTTTTTTTTTGAGGCGGAGTTTCGCTCGTTACCCAGGCTGGAGTGCAATGGCGCGATCTCGGCTCACCGCAATCTCCGCCTCCTGGGTTTAGGCAATTCTCCTGCCTCAGCCTCCCGAGTAGCTGGGACTACAGGCATGCGCCACCATGCCCAGCTAATTTTTTGTATCTTTAGTAGAGACGGGGTTTCACCATGTTGACCAGGATGGTCTCGATCTCTTGACCTCGTGATCCACCCGCCTCAGCCTCCCAAAGTGCTGGGATTACAGGCTTGAGCCACCATGCCCGGCCTTCTGAGAATACTCTTAACTTTAAAGACATATTTTATGAAAGATTTTTGACAGTAATTGCATTTTTAATGCTTTTATTAACTATTAATGTTTTTATGTTGCATAATATGAGTAGGCATGAATAGGTTTTCTGTATTTGTTTGGATTTTCTCAGGCATAATAGCTTTCCTGTGAAATAAGGTGTAAGCACGGATTAAGTTTTGCCACATCCCTCACACTTGGAGTTTTGCCAGTATGAATTATCTTACCTACAATCAAGTGTGGCAACCCTATAAAGACTTTGTCAGGTTTTGGACGTTTCTAGGGTTTCACACTAGAAATGTATAAATTTTTTTCTTGGCCGGCGCAGTGGCTCAAGCCTGTAATCCCAGCACTTTGGGAGGCCGAGGCAGGTGGATCACGAGGTCAAGAGATTGAGACCATCCTGGTCAACATGGTGAAACCCTGTCTCTACTAGAAATAGAAAAAATTAGCTGGGCATGGTGGCGCGTGCCTGTAAACCCAGCTACTCAGGAGGTTGAGGCAGGAGAATTGCCTGAACCCAGGAGGCGGAGGTTGAGGTGAGCCGAGATTGCGCCATTGCACTCCAGCCTGGGTAACAAGAGCAAAACTCTGTCTGAAAAAAAAAAAAATTGTTTTGTTTCTTATGCACAGAAAAGTTAGAGGTGTTGGTAAAGCATTGTTGCACCTTTCAGGTTTGTAGAATTTCTCTTCAGCATAAATTATTGCCATTGTGAAATTGTTCACATGCGGGTCACCACCAGGTGTCTGTACTGCAGGTCCTGACTCAGTAACAAATGAATACATTCAAACAGAGAATACAATGTAAGAATCAGGTGAGGGGATCGTGAGTTGCTCACAATTAGAGAGACCTATCATAGCTACATGACAACCTCTAGTTGTTCCTCCTCACATTTATTCAGTATAGCTTTAATAACAGAGGTTCCAAGTGAACCTGCTACTGGATAATTAACATGGTTGAAATAGTGGTTTTACAACTGATAAAAGCTCAGGTTACAATACCGAGAGTAAATACCATTAATAGTTACTCTCCCTGGTTGAACTCCTCTTGAGATGGCCATCTGGAGTCATCAAAGGTTACTGAGTAAACAAACTACTCAAATAAACTCCCTTGCATGCCCTAGATATTTGTTTTTCTTATAACTAAATATAAAAAAGGTTTGGCTGCCTCTGGCCTGAACTTTCTCAAACTATGCAAACCTCCAAGCCTCCCAGGGAGGTTTTTGATTATAACGATTTCTAATATTTTCCCTAAATATCTCTGCTACCTACATGAGTGCATCCCAACATGCCATGTCGCTTAAGAACTGAGAACTTGGCTAGATGTGGTGGCTCACGCCTGTAATCCAAGCACTTTGGAGGCTAAGGCAGGTGGATCACCTGAGGTCGGGAGTTCAAGACCAGCCTGACCAACATCATGAAATCCCATCTTAAAAGAATGAAAATAAAAAACAAACAAACAAACAAACAAAAACAATTGAGAATTTGCGACCGGATGTGGTGGCTCACACCTGTAATCCCAGTACTTTAGGAGTCCAAGGTGGGTGGATCACCTGAGGTCAGAATCTGGAGACCAGTGTGGCAAACACAGCAAAACCCCATCTCTACTAAAAATACATAAATGTGCAAGGCGTGGCAGTGGGAACCTGTAATACTAGGTACTCAAGAGTCTGAGGTAAGAGAATGGCTTGAACTCAGAAGGCAGAGGTTGCAGTGAGCCAAAATTTTGCCATTGCACTTCATCCTTGGTGATGAGAGTGAAACTCTCTCAAAGAGAGAGAAAAGGCAACTTGTTATAGGGTTTACCACATTCCTCACACTTAAAGGGCTTCTGTCCTTTATGAATTATTTGTAATGAAGGTCTATGTTTCATATAAATTCTCATATTTAGTAAGAGTTGAGAGTTGGTTAAAGGCTTTCCTACATTTATTACATTCATAGGGTTTCTTTCCAGTATGAATTATATTATGGCTACCTAGGCTTGAGAATGAAGGAAAGTTTTTGCCACATTCTTCACATCTGTAGGGCTTCTCTTCAGTATGAGTTTTCTTGTTTATTAAGCTTAGAGGAATTTGTAAAGGCTTTCCCACATTTTTCACATGTGTAGGGCTTCTCTCCAGTATGAATTTTCTTATGTGTAGTAAGGGTTTCAGATCGGGTAAAAGCTTTTCCACAATCTTCACATCTGTAGGGTTTCTCTCCAGTATGAATTTTCTTATGTTTAGTAAGGCTAGAGGAATTTGTAAAGGCTTTTCTACATTCTTCACATCTGTAGGGTTTCTCTTCAGTATAAATTCTCCTATGCTCAATAATGTGTGCAGTCTCCTTGAAAGCTTTTCCACAATCTTCATATCTGCAGGGGTCCTCTCCAGTATGAATTTTCTTATGTGCAATGACGTGTGGCCTGCTTGAAAGCTTTTCCACAATCCTCACATCTGTAGGGTTTCTCTCCAGTATGAATTGTCTTATGTTTAATAAGACTAGAGGAATGCATAAAGGCTTTTCCACATTCTTCACATCTGTAATGTTTCTCTCCAGTATGAATTATCTTATGCACAATAACATGTGCAGCCTGCTTGAAAGCTTTTCTACAATCTTCACGTCTGTAGGGTTTCTCTCTAGTATGAACTTTCTTATGTTTAGTAAGATTACCAGAATTCATAAAGGCTTTCCCACATTCTTCACATCTGTAGGGTTTCTCTCCAGTATGAATTGTCTTATGTCTAATAAGGCTAGAGGAATTCATAAAGGCTTTCCCACATTCTTCACATCTGTAGGGTTTCTCTCCAGTATGAATTTTCTTATGTGCAATGACGTGTGCGGCCCGCTTGAAAGCTTTTCCACAATCTTCACATCTGTAGGGTTTCTCTCCAGTATGAATTGTCTTATGTCTAATAAGGCTAGAGGAATTCATAAAGGCTTTCCCACATTCTTCACATCTGTAGGGTTTCTCTCCAGTATGAATTTTCTTATGTGCAATGACGTGTGCGGCCCGCTTGAAAGCTTTTCCACAATCTTCACATCTGTAGGGTTTCTCTCCAGTATGAATTATCTTATGTCTAATAAGGGTAGAGGAATGCATAAAGGCTTTCCCACATTCTTCACATCTGTAGGGTTTCTCTCTAGTATGAATTTTCATATGTACAATAACGTGTTCAGCCTGCTTGAAAGCTTTTCCACAATCTTCACATCTGTAGGGTTTCTCTCCAGTATGAACTTTCTTATGTGTACTAAAGCTTACAGATTGGGTAAAAGGTTTGCCAGATTCTTCATATCTGTAGGGTTTCTCTCCAGTATGAATTTTCTTATGTGCAATGACGTGTGCGGCCCGCTTGAAAGCTTTTCCACAATCTTCACATTTGTAGGGTTTCTCTCCAGTATGAATTGTCTTATGTCTAATAAGGCTAGAGGAATTCGTAAAGGCTTTCCCACATTCTTCACATCTGTAGGGTTTCTTTCCAGTATGAATTTTCATATGTACAATAACGTGTGCAGCCTGCTTGAAAGCTTTTCCACAAACCTCACATCTGTAGGGTTTCTCTCCAGTATGAACTTTCTTATGTGTACTAAGGCTTACAGATTGGGTAAAAGCTTTGCCACATTCTTCACATCTGTAGGGTTTCTCTCCAGTATGAACTCTCTTATGTGTACTAAGGCTTACAGATTGGGAAAAAGCTTTTCCACAATCATCACATCTGTAGGGTTTCTCTCCAGTATGAATTGTCTTATGTCTAATAAGGTTTGAGGAATGCGTAAAGGCTTTTCCACATTCTTCACATCTGTAGGGTTTCTCTCCAGTATGAATTTTCGTATGTGCAATAATGTCCGCAGTGTGCTTGAAAGCTTTTCCACAGTCTTCACATTTGTAGGGTTTCTCTCCAGTATGAATTTTCTTATGCTTCTTAAGGATAGAGGAAGTTGTAAAGGCTTTCCCACATTCTTCACATCTGTAGGGTTTGTCTCCAGTATGAATTTTCTTATGTGTAGTAAGGGTTTCAGATCGGGTAAAAGCTTTGCCACATTCTTCACATCTGTAGGGTTTCTCTCCAGTATGAATTTTCTTATGTGCAATAACGTGTGCAGCCTGCTTGAAAGCTTTTCCACAATCTTCACATCTGTAAGGTTTCTCTCCAGTATGAATTTTCTTATGTCTAATAAGGTTAGAGGAACGCCTAAAGGCTTTCCCACATTCTTGACATTTGTAGGGTTTCTCTCCAGTATGAATTCTCTTATGTGCAGAAAGGTTTGAGGAGTGCATAAACTCTTTGCCACATTCTTCACATTTGTAGGGTTTCACTTCAGTGTGAATTCTCTTATGTGCACTAAGGGTTTCCGATTGCTTAAAAGCTTGGCCACATTGCTCACATCTATAGAGTTTCTCTCCAGTATGAATACTCTTATGTGTAGTAACGTAAAAAGACTTCTTAAAGGCTTTTTCACATTCTTCCCATTTATAGGGTTTCTCTGCAGTATGAATTATCTTATGTTGAGAAAGGTTTGAGGACTGCTTAAAGACTTTGCCACGTTCTTCAAATCTGTACGGTTTCTCTTCAGTATGAATTTTCTTATGGGTAGTAGGGGTTAAGGACCGGATAATAGCTTTGCCACATTCTATATATGTGAAAAATTTTTTTCCAATATGTCTTATCTTATGTCTGTTGGAATTTGAAAACTTATTAAAGACTTTCACATATTTATCACATTGAAATATTGTTCTCTGGGTACTTGTCAAACTTTGGTTAAGTCCATTATAAACCGCTTGCTGCATATGACACTCATTCACACATTCACAGCGGTTATTTAACTGTAAATTGTCATGTTCACATTTTTCATATCTTCTCAGTATCATTTTTTGGAAAGAATCTTTAATCCCCTGCTCTGGCCAAAGGTCTTGGGCAAAATGAGAATGCATAACTAAAAGAAACAATAAAAACATATTACTTCAATTGCTAGGCTCAGATAAGTACACTTTACAAATCTAACATTTTCTTCCTGGACGTATAAATGTAACAAAAACATACTGACCAAAATCCATTTGTAAAATATTTATAAGTGTGTTAAGTGTGGGAAGGACCCCAGGTGAGCCCAGTGCAAAGAGCCACATAGAAGAAACAGAAAAGTCTGTTTCTTACACCCAACACAGGTGCTCCTCCTCTTCAGTATAACACTGTGCCTTTAAAAGTAAATTGCCAGCTGGGTACGGGAGCTCATGCCTGTAATCCCAGCACTTTGGGAGGGTGACGGGGTGGATCACAAGGTGAGAAGTTGATGATCAACCTGTTGAAGATAGTGAAATCCCGTCTGTTCTAAAAATACAAAACATTAGCTGGGCGTGCTTGTGGCACCTGTAATTCCAGCTACTCAGGAGGCTGAGGCAGAGAATTGCTGGAGCCTGGGAGGCAGAGTTTTCAGTGAGCTCAGATCATGCCACAGGCAGCCTGGGTGGCACAGTAAGACTTTAAAAAAAAAAACACAAAAAAAACAAAAACAAAACAAATCAAAAACCAGTAAAGTAAATTGCCAGAAAGGAATGATGTCTTATGCCTGTAATCTCAGCACGTGGGATAAATAAGACATGTCAATTACCTGAAGTCAGCAGTTTGAGACTAGCCTGACCATCTGGGTGGAATCCCATATCTCATAAATATACGAAAAATTAGCCAGGTGTGGTAACAGGTACCTGTAATGCTAGCTATTTGGGCTGAGGCAGGAGAATTGCTTGAAGTGTGGAGGCAGAGACTGTAGTGAGCCAACATCATTTCACTGCACTTCAGTTTAGGTAACAGAGTGAGACTATGTCACTCACACACATACACAAAAATTTAAATCGCCCTACTGGTTTCTTTTTAAAAAAAAAAGAAATATATTGGCACATACATCTTTATTTCTCACTTCTAGGGGCCTTTGTAGACATTGGTTAATGTCTCCCATGACATAAAATGCTGAAAGAAATCATGATATACATTGGAATGACAGTTTGAGTTCACTGAGTCTAAAGGCAAATAAATGATACAGAAACAGAGAAAATGCAGTCCCCCGAACAGGAAATGGGTGTAGCAAGTGATGACTGATTATTAAGAAGAAGTATGAATAAGCCAATTTAACTAAAAACAAAACACAACATTTTGGATAAGACACATCCTAAAAGCATGTTAAATAATTTCCTAGAATGTCTAGGCAGGACAATTGTTTTCAGACTACACCAAGACAATACTGTATTATAAAGATTGTAAGAGATAGTTTTTGTTAATGTCGAAATCTCAATCAAACACTACAATGTATGCAAAATGGCCCATCAAAAAAAGTATAAATTTTTCAAAAGCAACCATAAAAAGCATATAAAGTACTTTTTTTCTTTTGAGACAGTCTTCCTCTGTTGCCCAAGCTGGTGTACGGTGGTGTGATCCCAGCTCACTGAAACCTCTACCTCCCAGGTTCAAGTGATTTTCCTATCTCAGCCTCCCAAGTACCTGAGATTACAAGTGCATATCACAACACCGGCTAATTTTTTTTGTAATTTTTAGTAGAGATGGGGATTCACTGTCTTGGCCAGGCTGGTATTGAACTCCTGACTTCATGATCCACTCACCTCAGCCTCCCAAAGTGCTAGGAATACAGGTGTGAGCCACTGTGCCTGGACCAGTAATTTAAAAAATTCCAAAGAAATTGAACAGCCAAGGCTTGTTGGCTTATTCCTGGAATCCCAACACACTGGGAGGCCAAGGTGGGAAAATAACGTGAAGGCAGGAGTTTGAGACCAGCCTGAGGCCGGGTGCAGTGTCTCACATGTGTAATCTCAGCATTTTAGGCTGAGGCAGGCGGATGACCTGAGGTCAGGACTTTGAGACCAGACTGATCAACATAGAAACACCCGTTTCTACTAAAAATACAAAATTTAGCTGGGCATACTGGTTGATGCCTTTAATCACAGCTTCTCAGGAGGCTGAGGCAGGAGAATCACTTCTAGGAGGCGGAGTTGCAATGAGTGAAGATCACACCACTGCACTCCAGCCTGAGCAACAAGAGTGAAAGTCCATCTCAATAAAAGAAAAAAAAAAGAGACCAGCCCAGCCAACACAGTGAAATGCTGTGTCTACTAAAAATACAAAAATTAGCAGGGTGTGGTGGCATGTGGCTATAATCCCAGCTACGTGGGAGACTGACACAAGAGAATTCCTTAAACCCGGTAGGGAAAGGTTGCAGTGAGTAGAGATTATACCACTGCACTGCAACCTGGGAAACAGAGCAAGACTATCTCAAATATAACATAAAATAGGCTGGGCACGGTGGTTCACGCTTGTAATCCCAGCACTTTGAGAGGCAGAGGTGGGTGGATCATTTGAGCTCTAGATTTCAAAATCAGCCTGGTCAATGTGGTGAAACTCGTCTCTTACTAAAAATAAGTAAAATTAGCCAGGCTAGTTGCGGGCACCTTTTCCCAGCTAGTTGGGAGGCTGAGATTAAACAATGCCTTGAACCTGAGAGGAGGAAATTGCAGTCAGCCTAGATCACACCACTGAACTCCAGCCTGGGTGACAGAAAGTCTCCAATTCAGAAAACTAATAAATAAATAAAATTGAATAATATTGACGAAGTGAAATAAAAACAGGGACAACTACCAAACATCAGAAAAAGGAGGATAACAACAAGAAATATTAAAATAGCAAAAAACAAAAACAGTGGATACACAAAACACAAAAAACAATTGAAAAACTTCTTAAGAAAAAAAACGGGCTGGGCACAGTGGCTCACACTTCTAATCCGAGCTCTTTTGGAGGCCGAGGTGGGCAGATCATGAGGTTAAGAGACAGAGACCATCCTGGCCAACACAGTGAAAACCGGTTTTGAAAAATACAGATACAAAAAATTAGGCCGGGCGCGGTGGCTCAAGCCTGTAATCCCAGCACTTTGGGAGGCCAGGGTGGGTGGATCATGAGGTCAAGAGATCGAGACCATCTTGGTCAACAAGGTGAAACACCGTCTCTATTAAAAATACAAAAACTAATTGGGCATGGTGGCGCATGCCTATAATCCCAGCTACTCGGGAGGCTGAGGCAGAAGAATTGCCTGAACCCAGGAGGCGGAGGTTGCGGTGAGCCGAGATCGTGCCATTGCACTCCAGCCTGGGTAACAAGAGCGAAACTCTGTCTCAAAAAAAAAAAAAAAAAATCGCCAGGTGTGGGGGCACCCGCCTGTAGTTCCAGCTACTTGGGAGGCTGAGGCATTAGAATCGTTTGAACATGGGAGGGGAAGGTTGTGGCAAGCCGAGATCATGCATGCTATTGCATTCGATACACAGATATTTATATCAAACACATGTATTAGTGAAATTTCAAAAATGATAGATAAGCAAATTTGGGGAGGTGCAAAATGAACATGATCTTTCATTTATAAGCATAGTCTCATGAGGTAACCAGTGCATTTATCAAAAAATTCTTTGCAGGTCAGAAGGAAACTGTGTGATGTTGTTAAAGTTATAATTTTTTTTAAAAGTTCTCAGGTGGGAAAAATATCATCAGCAAAATTTTGCTACCAAATAATAAGAAATCCTGAGGAAGTATATTGGCACTGCATATGCTCTATATATCAAAGATGCTGAAAGGAGTTTCTTTCACTGAAAATAGTAGAGCAAGAAAACAACACAAAATCATATGAAAATATATAACTTTCTGGAAAAGATAATGCACATACACAAAAAATACAATTTCCTACTTAACATTATTATAATAGTGCAGAATATAATTTTAATTATTCTCTAAAATTTAAAAGCAAAGACTATAGATATTATTATAAACATCTGTTAAGGAATATACAATATAAAAATATAATTAGAAAAATCAACAAACTTGAAGGCAGATATATTGATGAAGAATTTTTGTATGAAAATGAAGTTAAATTTACCACATTCAAATATATTCTTGGATCTTTTAGAAGTTTTATGTAATCCCCAGGTATTACTAAGAAAATATCTGGGTCGGCGCTGTGGCTTTTGCCTGTATTCCTAGAACTTTGGAGACCAAGGCAAGCAGATCATGAGGTCAGGAGTTCAAGACTAGCCTGGCCAACATGGTAAACCCTGTCTCTACTAAAAATACAAAATTAGCTGGGCATGGTGGCACATGCTTGTAATCCCCAATACTCGGGAGACTGAGACAGGAGAACTGATTGAACCCAGAAGGCAGAGATTACATTGAGCTCAGATCTTGCCATTGTACTCCAAACTGGGCAAAAAGACCCCCCCCCCCAAAATAAACAAAAAACCTGTTACAACAAACCTACACAATATATAGGCAAGTGACACAAAAATACAGATATAATATTTATATAGGCAAACAAACATAAAAATATATTTTCAGTAGAGATTAGACATGTCTTATTCATATTTAATTTTGCTCGTGTCTTAAACTGTATAGTTAAATATTGTCATATACATTTATAATGTAAACTAAAAAATGAAAACACAACCAGTGTGATGTGGCATACCAAAACATATGTAACACTAAAATATAAAAATGGAAAACAAAAATAAAACATGAAATGTAGACAGGGCACAATGTAATGAAATGTAGACTGGGCCCACGCCTGTAATCCCAGCACTGTGGGAGGCCGAGGTGGGTGGATCACTTGAGGTCGTGAGTTCGAAAACACCCTGGTCAACATAGTGCAACTCCCTATCGACTAAAAATACAGGCTGGGCGTGGTGGCTCATGCCTGTAATCCAAGCACTTTAAAGGCCAAGGCAGGCAGATCACCTGAGGTCGGGGGTTCAAGACCAGCCTAACCAACATGGTGAAACCCCATCTTTATACTAAAGATGTTTTTAAAAAAGAAATAAAAATACAAAAATTAGTTGGGTATAGTGCCGGGTATCTGTAATCCCAGCTACTTTGGAGGCTGAGGCAAGAGAATCATTTGAACCTGAAAGGTGGAGGTTGCAATGAGTCAATACTGGGCCATTTTGAGACACAGTTTCGCTCTTGTTACCCAGGCTGAAGTGCAATGGAGCGATCTCGGCTCACCGCAATCTCCGCCTCCTAGGTTCAGGCAATTCTCCTGCCTCGGCCTCCTGAGTAGCTGGGATTACACTCCCAGCTGGCCATTGCACTCCACTCTGCACAACAAGAGCAAAACTCCATCTTAAAAAAAAAAAATGGAGTGGCCGGGGACGGTGGTTCAGGCCTGTAATCCCAGCACTTTGGGAGGCCGAGGCGGGTGGACCACGAGGTCAAGCGATCGAGATCATCCTGGTAAACATGGTGAAATCCCGTCTCTAATAAAAAAACAAAAAATTAGCTGGGCGTGGTGCTGCGTGCCTATAATCCCAGCTACTCAGGAGGCTGAGGCAGGAGAATTGCCGGAACCCAAGGGGCAGAGATTGCAGTGAGCCGAGATCGCGCCATTGCACTCCAGCCTCGGTAACAAGAGCAAAACTCCATCTCAAAAAATAATAATAATAAATAAGTAAAAATTCAAAAGTAAAACAAGAAATGATAAAAATATAACTACTGGAAAAACATAAAACAATAACAACGTAACTGTTAGTAACAACTCACAACTATAATCTTAAAACTTCAGGAGGACGAGGCAGGAAGGTCACCTGAGGTCAAGAGTTCAAGACCAGTCTGGCCATGATGGTGAAACCCCATCTCTACTAAAAATACAAGAAATCAGCTGGGCAAGGTAGGGGGCACAAGTAATCCCAGTTATTTGGGAGGTTGAGGCAGGAGAATCACTTGAACATGGCAGATGGAGGCTGCAGTCAGCTGGGATCATGCCATTGTACTCCAGCCTTGGACAAGTGCAAAACTCTGTGTCTAAATAAATAAATAAAATTATATAAAGAAAAAAATATAGAATATCTGAGTGCTTTTTAAAAAGCATATAGTATGCCGCCTATAAGAGGCTCATTTTAGCATTGAGTCAAATAGGCTGAAAGGAACAGAATTTGTAAAATGTGCCAGGCGTGGCGACTCCTGCATGTAATCCCAGGACTTTGGGAGGCCGAGGCGGGCAGATCACCTGCGGTCAGGAGCTAAAGATCGGCGAGGCCAGTATTTTGAAATGTTGTTGTTACTAAAAAATAAAAATCTGCTTGGCGTGGTGGTACATGGCTGCAGTCCCAGCTACTCGGGAGGCTGATGCAGAACTGCCTGAACCCAGGAGGCAGAGATTGCGGTGAGCCGAGATCTCGCCATTGCACTCCAGCCTGGGTAACAAGAGCAAAACTCCATCTCAAAAAAAAAAACATTAATTACACAAACTGAAAAAAGGATTTGAAGAAACACACAGTAAGAAATTTGTGGAGAAATAATAATTTCAAAAAACACAAGGACAAAGAAAATCACTCACACCCATTAGAATGCCACTATACCCAGGCACCATGGCTCAGGCCTGTAATCCCACCATGTTGGGAGGCCAAGGCAGGCAGACCATGAGGTCAGGAGCTTTCACCATCATGGTGAAACCTGTCTCTACTAAAAATACAAAAAATCAGCAGGGCACGGTGGCAGGTGCCTGTAATCCTGACTACTTGGGAGGCTGAGGGAGGAGAATCACTGAAACCCAGGAGGCAGAGGTTGCAGTGAGCCAACATTGCATCACTGCATTCCAGCCTGGGCAACACAGTGAGATGTTATCTGGGGAAAAAAAAAAAAATGAATAGCCAGTATACATTTTTAAAAAAAATTCAGTGCACATCAATGCATTCCAGCCTGGGTGACAGAGCAAGACTCCATCTCAAGGAAAAAAAAAAAAGCAACACAGGATGTGGAAGACATATTTGAAAATTCATGTTTATTTTAGCAGTATTCACAAAAGCCAAAAGGCTGAAGCAACCCATATGTCTCTCAATCCGTAAAGATTTTAAAAGATGTCAGATATATGTACAATGGAATATTATTCTACCTTAAAAAGGAAAATCTTGTCATATTTTAAGACGAACCTTGAGAATACTATGTCACGTGAATTAATCCAGTAACAAAATTATGAATACTGTATGACTCTATTTATATATGATATCTTAAGTAGTCAGAATTATAAAAACAGAAAGTAGAAGGTTTGTCTGTCAAGCGCTGGAGAGAGGGTAATATGAGCACTTGTTTCTTAATGGGTGTTAAGTTTTAGTTTTACAAGATGCAAAGTTTTCTTAGAAGTTTTCTGCATAACAATTTGAATATACTTAACATGCCTGAAATGAACAGTTTTTTTTTTCTTTTTGAAACAGAGTGTCTCTCTTTCGCGCCAAAGCTGGAGTATAGTGGCACAATTTTGAATCCCCACTAATCTCCCAAGTAGCTGGGACCACAGTGGCACACCACCTTGCCTTGCTAATACTACATTTTTTTATAGAGAGGGGTCTCCATATGTTGCCCAGGGTGGTCTCAAACCTTTCGGCTCCGGGAATCCTGTTTTGGCCTTGAAAAATCCTGGGATTAAAGATGAAAGCCACAATTACGCCTCATCTTCAAATGTACACTTCAACAGACTTAAAATGGTACATTTTATGTTATGTGTTCATAAACAATGTTTTTAAAGAAAAACTAAAAAAAATAAACAAACCCAGAATTATACATCTTTTTTAAAATTACCTTTTTGTTTTGTTTTGTTTCGGAGATCGAATTTTGCTTTCGCTGCCCAGGCTGGAGTGCAATGTCATGGCAGACTGCAACCTCCCCCTCCCGAATTCAAGTGAATCTCCTGCCTCAGACTCCCAAGTAGCTGGGATTACAGCCATGCACCACCACGCCCAGCTAATTTTTGTATTTTTTGTAGAGATGGGGTTTCTCCATGTTGGTCAGACTGGTCGCAAATAACCGACCTCAGGTGACCCATCTGAGTCGGCCTCTGAAAGTGCTGGGATTACAGGCGTGAGCCACTGTGCTCAACCTGGAAATTACCCTCAAATCACACAAGCATTTCTCTCAATAAATATATATATATATATATATTCATAACTATGAATATATATATATATTCATAACTATGAATATATATATATATTCATAACTATGAATATATATATATTCATAGTTACACACATGGTGAAAATCGGACTATCGCCATGACTACTCACTTAGACAAGATAAAACTACCATCAATTGAAAATCAGCTAAGAAAGAATATAAATTAAGCCATATCCAAAATTGGAGTCATATTTGAAGATAAACACACAAACATATGTAACCTGATTGTGATAGACATGCATAATTTATCTCTTAATTAAACCTCAAATTGACTTAAAGTGTACAAACAGAATTGCAAATTGTCTAAAAATAGAATTCTTAAGTAAAACCAACAGACGCAATAAACTGAGGCTAGGAAACCGACACTCAGGCCAGGTGCGCTGGTTCACACCTGTAATCCCAACACTTTGGGAGGCTGAGGAGGGCAAATTACCTGAGGTCAGGAGTTCAAGACAAGCCTGGACAACATGGCAAAAGCCAGTCTCTTTAAAAATACAAAAATTAGCCAGGCATGGTTGCACATGCCTATAATCTCAGCTACTTAGGAGGCTAAGGCATGAAAATTTCTTGAATCCAGGAAGAGGTGGAGGTTGCAGTGAGCCAAGATTGCACCACTGCACTCCAGCCTGGGTGACAGAGGGTAACTGCATCGTAAAAAAACAAAACAAAACAAACAAAAAAAAAACCCCCAAATTATGTAGGTAACTGCAATATTTAACTGTTACTGTGTACTCATCAGATACAGGTATTTTGAATCATTTCCATGCACGGTGAAGTAAAATTTTAGAGAATCTACAGTTTAGTAACAAATATGAGATTCTAATGAGAAACTTTTAATAAGTAATCATCTAGCCAGGCGCGGTGGTCAGATCTGGGTTAGAAACAAAAATACCTGTATTAGTTAAAAATAAAAAACATGAATCTGGTTCATATTCTCCACTTACAAGCTAGTAAGGTGCTCAGAGAGGATATAATAAAATATTCTACCATACCCAGCTAATTTTTTTTTGTATTTTTAGTAGAGATGGGGTTTCACCATGTTGACCAGGATGGTCTCAAACTCTTGACCTCGTGATCCACCCATCTCGGCCTCCCAAAGTGCTGGGATTACAGGCTTGAGCCACCATGCCTGGCCTTGTGTATTCAAGTTATGCTTACCAAGAAAGACCAGGTTTCTGTAGTTTTCCAACATCACATCCCAATATAGATTCCGCTGTACAGTGTCCAGGCAATGCCACTCCTCCAGAGAGAATTCTATGGCCACATCCCTAAACCCCAATGGTTCCTGAAAAACACACACACACATATTTTTACCAAGTAGCCATGAAAGGAATTTTTACTTTGACTTAAGGCAATAATATGAATAGATGCTTTTCAATAGAAGACGTGGATGTGGCTAACAGCATATGAAAAAAAAAATGATCATCGCTCATCATTAAAGGAATTTAAAAAGAAAAAAACACAATGAGATACCACCTCACCAAGTCAGAATGGCTATTTTTTTTTGAGACGGAGTCTCGCTATCGTTACCCAGGCTGGAGTGCAATGGCGCGATCTCGGCTCACCGCAACCTCCACCTCCTGGGTTGAGGCAATTCTCCTGCCTCAGCCTCCTGAGTAGTTGGGATTATAAGTGAGCGCTACCGTGTCCAGCTAATTTTTTGTATTTTTAGTAGAGACGGGGTTTCACCATGTTGACCAGGATGGTCTTGATCTCTTGACCTTGTGATCTACCCGCCTCGGCCTCCCAATGTGCTGGGATTACAGGCGTGAGCCACTGCGCCGGCTTTTTTTTTTAAGACGGGGTTTCACCGTGTTGGTCAGGCTGGTCTTGAACTCCCGACCTCGGTGATCCGCACGCCTTGGCGTCCAAAGTGCTTGGATTACAGGCGTGAGCCACCAGACCCGGCCATTTTTTGACTTTTTAAAATTAGCCGTTCTTGCGTGGTGGCTCACGCCTGTAATCCAAGCACTTTGGACGCCAAGGCGTGCGGATCACCGAGGTCGGGAGTTCAAGACCAGCCTGACCAACACGGTGAAACCCCGTGTTAAAAAAAAAAAAAAAAAGTCAAAAAAATAACAGATGCTGACAAGGTTGAAGAGAAAAAAGAATGCTTATACTCTGTTGCTGGGAGTCTAAATTAGTTGAAGAAGTGCAAAAAGCAGTGTGGGTCAGGTATTGTGACTCACGCCTGTAATTTCAGCACTTTTGAAGGCTGAGGCAGAGGTTGGAGCTCGAGACCAGCCTGACCGATATGGAGAGACCCCAACTCTACTAAAAATACAGTATTAGCTGGCGGGTGGTAGCATATGCCTGTCATTCCAGCTAATCTGGAGGCTAAGGCAGGAGAATTTCTTGAACCTCTGAGGTGGAGGTTGCAGTGAGCCGATAGTGTGCCATTGAACTCCAGCCTGGGCAACAAGAGCAAAACTCAGTCTCAAACACACACACACACTCACACACACACACACACACACACACACAACGACAACAACAAAAAAGCATTGTAGTGATTCCTGATAGAACTAAAAAGAGAATTATCCTTTGACATACGAAGCTCATAGTTCTGTATATACCCAAACAAATACATGTTATTTCATTATTATAAAGACACGTCCACATGTATTTTCATTGCAACACTATTCACAGTAGCAAAGACGTGGACAGGCCCTAAATGTCTATCAGTTGTAGACTGGATGAAGAAAATATGGTATGGTCAGATGTGGTGGCTCATGCCTGGAATCCCAGCAGTTTGGGAGGCTGAGGCAGGTGGATTGCCTGCGCTTAGAATTTTGAGACCAGCCTAGGCAACATGAGAAAATCTGGTCTCCACAAAAAATACAAAAAACAAAACAAAAAACTGGCCGGGCATAGTAACGCACACATGTGGACCCAGTTACTGGGATAATGATGTAGGAGAGAATTGCTTGAGCTGGGGAGGCTGAGTCTAAAGAAACCAATATCATGCCAGGTACCCTAGCCTGGACAGTAAGTGAGACATTGTCTCCAAAAATAAATTGAAAGATTTAGTAAAGAAAAAAATATGGTCCATAAATATCATGGAATACTCTGTGGCCATTAAAAAAATAATAATAATAATGTCTTTTGCAATAAAGTCAATGAAGCTGGCGACCATTATTAGAAAACTAATGCAGAGGCTGGGTGCGGTGGCTCAAGCCTGTAATCCCAGCACTTTGGGAGGCCGAGGCGGGTAGATCACAAGGTCAAGAGATCGAGATCATCCTGGTCAACATGGTGAAACCCTATCTCTACTAAAAATACAAAAAATTAGCTGGGCACGGTGGCGCGTGCTGTAATCCCAGCTACTCAGGAGGCTGAGGCAGGAGAATTGCCTGAACCCAAGAGGCAGAGCTTGCAGTGAGCCGAGATCGCGCCATTGTACTCCAGCCTGGGTAATAAGAGCAAAATTTCGTCTCAAAAAAAAAAAAAAAAAATACAAAATTAGCCTGGGTGCAAGGGCTCATGCCTGTGATTCCACCACTTTCGGAGGCTGAGGCAGGCGGGTCACATGATGTCGGGAGTTTGAGACCAGCCAGACCAATATGGAGTAACCCCTTCTCCAGTAAAAATACAAAATTAGACCGGGTGCAGTGGCTCACGCTTGTAAATCCCAACATTTTGGGAGGCCAAGCTGGGTGGATCACCCGAGGTCAGAAGTTTGAAACCAGCCTGACCAACATGGAGTAACCCCATCTCTACTAAAAATAAAAAGAAATAGTTGGGTATGGTGGTGCATGTCTGTAATCCCAGCTACTTGGGAGGCTGAGGCAGGAGAATCACTTGAACCTTAAAAGCAGAGGTTGCTGTGAGCCAAGATTGCGCCACTGAACTCCAGCCTGGGCAACAAGAATGAAACTCCACCTCAAAAATAAATAAATAAATAAACCCAAATAAATAAATATATAAAAATCCAAAATTAACCAAGCGTGGTAATCCCAGCTACCCAAGATTCCGAGGCAGGAGAATTTCTTGAACCCAGAAGGTGGAAGTTGCAGTGGGCAGATATTCCAGGATTGCACTCCAGCCTTGGGCAAAAAGAGCACAACTCCATCTCAAAACAAAACTAAGAAAACTAATGCAGAAGCAGACAACTAAATGGATGTTATTATTTATCAGAGCTAAATAATAAAAACACATGAACACACAAAGAGAAGAACAACAGACACTGAGGCCTAGTTGAGGGTGGAGGCTGTGAGGACTAAGAGGATCGGAAAACATACCTGTTTGGTGCTATGAGTGTTACCTCAGTGACAAGATACTCTACACACCAAACCCCCATGACATGATTTTAGCTGAATAAAAACCCACATGTGTACCCTGAACCAAAAATAAAAGCTACAAGAAAAAAAAAAAAATTCTGGGTGAAGGTGAATGTAGGTGAAAGGACTGATTTTTGCCACAGATAGTGGGCCAGGTGGGGCTGTTCTCTGATTGATTTGTTTGCCTGCAGGCAGATGAGATGATGAACAGGAGGTCCAGAACCTCAGGTGGATGGGAAAAACCGCTTGCTGCTGCAGATTCAGTGTCTGAAGGTGGGGATATGCCAGGAGACTTGCAGATACTTGTGGGTTCTCAGCAGCAAACACTATGATCAAAGAGGCCATAAAGTTCCTAAAAATGGTGCCTAGTCCTGGGAGGACTGTGCACACGTCAATGTCTAGTGTGTGTCTTTGTGAGTGGATGGGAATTCTGTAGTGGCAGCTGCAAGAAAAAGGAGTCTATTATCTTATAGTTAGTTGGCACTTTCTCCTGTTGCAATACATTTTTGAATTCATTTTTTTTTTACATAAACTTAATGTTTTATTTTACATAATCTAAAAAATGCCTCAAAACAATAACAACTTCATCATCAGTAAAACCCTCCCAGATTCCTTTCATCTTAATCTTTTTTTTTTTTTTTTTGAGACAGTTTCGTCTTGCTACCCAGGCTGGAGTCCAATGGCGGCGATCTCGGCTCACCGCAACCTCCGCCTCTTGGGTTCAGGCAATTCTCCTGCCTCAGTCTCCTGAGTAGCTGGGATTACAGGCACGCGCCACCATGCCCAGCTAATTTTTTGTATTTTTAGTAGAGACGGGGTTTCACTATGTTGACCAGGATGGTCTCGATCTTTTGACCTCATGATCCACCCACCTTGGCCTCCCAAAGTGCTGGGATTACAGCCTTGAGCCACCGCGCCCGGCTCATCTTAATCTTAACTGCATTTGCCTGTGAGACCCCAGCTTTCCAACGCTCTGCAGCTTCTCTCAGAATAAAGGCTCCTTCCATGACTGGGGTGAGCAGGCTGGGACAACTGCAGGGGAGGCTTTTCAGAGAAACCTGAGACTTTAATAACCTCCTGCTGGCCAGGTGCGGTGGCTCAAGCCTGTAATCCCAGCATTTTGGGAAGGGGAGGCAGGGGGATCACCTGAGGTTGGGAGTTCAAGACCAGTCTGACCAACATGGAGAAACCCTGTCTCTACTAAAAGCACAAAATTGGTGGGGCGTGATGGTGCATGCCTGCAATTCTAGCTACTCGGGAGGCTTAGGCAGGAGAATCGCTTGAAGCCAAAAGACAGAGGTTGTATTTTTCTATTTTTAGTAGAGATGTGGTTTCACCATGTTGGCCAGGCTGATCTAGAACTATTGACCTTGTGATCCGCCTGCCTCAGCCTCCCAAAGTGCTGGGATGGGTGTCAGCCATCGCGCCCAGCCAGCAAGGGGTTTCAAACCCTATGAAAGTTTATTTTATTTATTTTTTTTTTTTGGTCGTTCCCCTATTGGCTGGGGTTGGACAGCACAATCTAAACTGATCCTGCTTGGCTTAAACCAAAACTTTTTTCAAATAGGGTAAACGCTCGATTTTGCTAGAAAAAGAGAAAGGGGAAGAAAAAGGGGTAGGGTTGACTTTTACAACTTAAGACCAAGAAGCTGAGTCTTTGAAGAGGAATTTAGTTCACCTAACAACTCCTGACTATAAGGTCTGACCGAGCCATGAACAGACCTGCAGGTACCCCTTAGGTGAGTTCCTGGAAGAAACGATCAACCCTGGAGCGCGCCTAACTAAACAGACATTCTTCTATTGTTTCTTATTCCGGCCTCAATTGACAAGGCTATTGGACTTCATAACCGAACTCGGCCAACCTGGTGACTCCACAACCTATGACCCCCTCCCAGCTTGCAAACAACCTCCAACTGAAACGTCTGTAACTTTCCACCGCCCACCCCAAACCTACAAAACCAACTCCTTTCCCACCGCCCTCCCCTCACTCCATTTTCGATCCCAGCCCGCCTGCACCCGGGTGACTAAACAGCCTTGCTGCTCACACAAAGCCTGTTTGGGGGTCTTTTCATTCCGCGTCCGCGTTTTAACACTGATCTCAAGTGATCCGCTGGCCCCAGCCTCCCAAAATGCTGGGATTACAGGCGTGAGCCACCATGCCAGGTCTCCTAAGTTTTTAATATGAGAAAAGAGAAACTGTGAACCCCAAAGGCAAAAGCCCTTCCCATTCATGAACTCGCACCTCGAGTCAGAACTCTGCTCTGAGGACCCTGCTGTGGTTCCTGCGCAATGTGGGAGAGACGCGGCGCCAATGGTGCCGAGCTGCTTAGAGGGGGCTCCAGGCCAGGGCAGTCACTGTGCAGGGAAGAGACAGGACCCCTGGCGCCTGCCCGTCAGCGCAGTCGCCATCTTATGGCTGAAGGGGACTGAGGCCGAGCTGGGCAGGGAGAAATTCCTGGAAGATTGTGGGGCTGACCGCGGGGACGCCTGAGTCCCACCACAGCCGCTCCCCACCGGTTCCAACCAATCCCTCGCCTTTCTCTGGATGTCGGAAGGCACTCTCACCATTTGTAGGCTTCCAGGGGCTCCCCGCCTCTTAGCTGTGGATCTCCCAATGCCTGAAGGTCACAGGGCCGCAGAGTCTGGGCCTCTAGGAGCAGCGGACACAAAGCAGAGAAGAGGAGACCTGCAGCTTTCGCTACAGCGAGGGACAAAGGCCGCGCCAAACCCGAAAGCCGCCCTCTTTACTCCAGCTACGCGCCTGATTGGACGGTTTCCAAGCCAACCTCCCCGACTGGATACTGCTTAAGGCCCCGCCCCCGCAGGGCCTGAGTGACAGAAGAGGTGATCAGACGCTGGACTGAGTGAAAGAAAGAGTAACAAACAGCCTTAGCTGCAGCCTTTTCCGGCAGAGCTTCCTCCCTTAGCTTAGCCAGGCCCGCCCCAGAGAATGAAAAAAATTCAAACTTTTTTTTTTTTTTTTTGAGGCTTGAGTGCAGTGCCGCAATCTAGGCTAACTGCAACGTCCGCCTTTCGGGTTCAAGTGATTCTCCTGCCTCAGCCTCCCCATTAGCTGGCATTATAGGCATGTGCCACCATGCTAGGCGAATTTTGAACTTTTGTAGACAGGGTTTCTCCATGTTGGTCAGGCTGGTCTCAAACTTCCAATCTCAGGTGATCCTCCTGCCTCGGCCTGGGAAGTGCTGGGATTCCACAGGTGAGCCACCGAGCCCTACCTGTATCTTTTTTACTTTCTATTTTAATGTATTCAAAAGGTGAACAGAAAGTCCTCTTTTTTCATATTAATAATACATAAAATTTTGTTCAAGAGAAAATCAACTTTTACTTTGGTAATTGTGTATTATCAATACTAAAGGTAATTTTAATAAAACCTTATAAATACTACTTGGTATACTCAGAAAAATAAAAATTAAGAAAAAAGGGGTGAGGAAACAAAAAAATTTCTTTTTAAAAAAACCTTATAAATAAATTTCTCATTTTGGACCTCTCAAGATTTAGATATATATTTTGTAATCTCTTGTAATTTTTTAATTTTTTATATTTTAATCTACATTCATTTTATTTTTTCAATTTGAAACAACCTTAAGCTAATTTCAAACAGTTATAGGACATAGAAATCATTTAGGGCCAGACACAATGGCTCACACCTGTAATTTCAGCATTTTGGGAGGCCAAGGTAGGCGGATCAGTTGGGGTCAGGAGTTCAAGACCAGCCTGGCCAACATAATGAAACCCCATTTCTACTAAAAATACAAAAAATTTAGCCAGGCATGGTGGTGCACACCTGTAGTCCCAGTTACTGCGGAGGCTGAGGCAGGAAAATCACTTGAACCCAAGAGGTGAAGTTTGTGTAATCACCAAGGGGTTCACCTTTCCCTTTTTCTAGACAGAGCCAATTCATCAAAACAGGAGGGCAATGGCACGATTTTGGCTCACCGCAACCTCTGCCTCCTGGGTTCAAGCAATTCTCCTGCCTCAGCCTCCCAAGTAGCTGGGACTACAGGCGGACACCACCATGCCCAGCTAATTTTTGTATTTTTAGTAGAGACGGGGTTTCACCTTGTTGACCAGGGTGGTCTTGATCTCTTGACCTCATGATCCACCCACCTCAGCCTCCCAAAGTGCTGGGATTATAGGCATTAGCCACTGCACCCAGCCCCCAAAACAGGGGAGTTTCTAAAGGAAATGTTAAATATTAAATTTGAGCACAAACAATGGTCACCAAGTGGTGGAACAATACATGTGAGTCCTTTGAGGCGTTCATCCAGCTCTGTTTGGAAGAAATCTCTATTTCAATTTACTCCTATAGGTTAGTTATTTCAAAACAATAAACAATCGCAAAAAAAGAAGTTGATCTTTTTTGTATTCCTTGAGCACAGTTCTGGGAAGGGCCCTGGTGACTGAGCCTCATGCCAAACAAAAAGATCTAGGGTCCTGCTGGGCGTGGTGGCTCATGCCTGTAATCCCAGCACTTTGGAAGGCTGAGGTGAGTGGATCACCTGAGGTCAGGAGTTCGAGACCACCCTGACCAATACGGTGAAACCCCAACTTTAAAAAAAAAAAAAAAGATCTAGGGTTTCAAACTGCACCAACACTTCATGAGACCTCTCCTCATCTGTGCATGGGCAGGTGGCTGACTCTGAAGCCAAGGCTGTTGCTTCCCAGTTTGGTGGTCAATCCTCCATAGTCTAGTGAGTATAAATATATATATGTGTATATATATGTATATATATATGTGTATATATGTGTATATATATGTATATATGTGTATATATGTGTATATATATGTATATATATGTGTATATATGTGTATATATGTGTATATATATGTATATATGTGTATATATGTATATATATGTATGTATATATGTATATATATGTGTATGTATATATATGTCTGTATATATGTATGTATATGTGTATATATGTATATATATATGTATATCTTTTCCCTTATCTTCTCATTGCCATTTTCTTCTTACATCAATCTCCTTATTATATTTACTTATTATATCATTTGCTTATTATATTTGCATTGTCTTTTAGGTGGGATAAAGCTGGTTTACCCTTAAAGGTATTGTGTGTATGTCTTTTCTTCTCCCTTCACGGATTTCTTCTACAGAACATTTTTGGGGTCACACACAAAATTTGAAAACAAAAGTGTGCTACCTTTTGGACAGAAGGATAGCATTGGAGGATCGAGGACTTCCCATATTCTGGGATGGAAACTTCCCCAGTTCCCCCACTTGGCAATTGAATGGTCTAAGCAAACTGGCTTTTGTGAGAATTGAGAATCTAAATTAGTGCGATTTAAACCAGCCTGCCATCACGCTGAAACTGCGTCTCTGCTAGAAAAACAAAAAAAGTTGGCCAGGCGCGGGTACTCATGCCTGTAACCCCAGTACTTTGGAAGGCCAAAGCAGGTGGATCACCTGAGGTCGGGAGTCCAGACCAGCCTGACCAACATAGAGAAACCCCGTTTCTACTAAAAGTACACATCCTTATAATCCCAGCTACTAAGAAGGCTGAAGCAGAAGAATCGCTTGAACCCAAGAGGCGAAGGTTGCAGTGAGTTGAGATCGCCCCACTGCACACTGCACTCCAACTGGGCAACAAGAGTGAAACTCCATCTCAAAACAAAAACAAAAATTAGCTGGACATGGTGGCGGGTGCCTGTAATCTCAGATGCTGGGGAGGCTGAAACAGTAGAATCGCTTGAACTGGAAGGCAAAGGTTGCAGTGAGCTGAGATTGTGTCATTGCACTCAGGCCTGGGCAACAAGAACAAAACTTTGTCCCAAAAAATAAGTAAATAGGCGGGGTGAGGTGGCTTATGTAATCCTAGCACTTTGGAAGGCAGAGATGGGCAAATCACAAGGTCAGGAGATGGAGACCATCGTGACTAAACTGGTGAAACCCGTCTCCACTAAAAATGCAAAAAATTAGCTGGGCATGGTTGCGTGCACCTGTAGTCCCAGATACTTGGGAGGCTGAGGCAGGAGAAGCACTTAAACCTGGGAGGCAGAGGTTTCAGTGAGCTGAGACTGCGCCAATGCACTCCAGCCTGCACAACAGAGCAGAACTGTGTCTCAAAAATTAATAAATAAATACATAAATGAATACATAAATAAATATCATTATATGAAGAAAATGATATAATATGCCTGTTTTTTTTTTTAAAGCGTAGAGTAGTCTGTCTACAAGAGACTCATTTTAGCATTGAGTCAAATAGAGTGAAAGAAACAGTGAAAAAAAGTGTATTTTATGAAAATTGTAACTGAGGGAGGTAGTCATAATTATATTAGACGTAATATGCTTTTTTTTTTTTTTTAAATGGAGTTTCGCTCTTGTTACTCAGGCTGGAGTGCAATGGCACAATCTCGGCTCACCACAACCTCCGCCTTCTGGGTTCAAGCAATTCTCTTGCCTCAGCCTCCCGAGTAGCTGGGACTACCGGTGCACACCACCATGCCCAGCTAATTTTTGTATTTTTAGTAGAGACAGGGTTTCACCATGTTGACCAGGAAGGTCTTGATCTCTTGACCTCGTGATCCACCCGCCTCAGCCTCAAAGTGCTGGGATAACCGGCGTGAGCCACAATGCCCAGTCAAGATATAATATGCTTTAAGTCAAGTATTACCATGAGACCAAGATTGATATTATATTATGTTAAAGTGAGTTGATTCACCAGGAATGTGTATATATATATACATGTATATATATATATACATATATATGTTATATATATGGGTATGTTATATATATGTTATATATATACAGATGTTTTATATATGTTATATATACAGATGTTTTATATATATATATACACACACAGATGTTTTATATATATATACATATATATATATATATATATATATATATATAAAATATCAGGGCTCCAAAAGATATAAAACAAATACTGACAAAAGTGAAGGATAACAGGCATACACACATAATAATTGTAGGCATTCAAATCCCAATCACAATAATAAATAAAACATTCAGATATAAAATAAACAGAAAACTTAGGCAACATTAATTATTTTGCATAGGCCGGGCGCAGTGGCTCATGCCTATAATCCCAGCACTTTGGGAGGCCGAGGTGGGTGGATCACAAGGTTAAGAGATTGAGACCATCCTGGTCAACATGGTGAAACCCCGTCTCTACTAAAAATACAAAAATTAGCTGGGCATGGTGGTGTGTACCTGTAGTCCCAGCTACTCGGGAGGCTGAGGCAGGAGAATTGCCTGAACCCAGGAGGTGGAGGTTGCAGTGAACCGAGATCACACCGTTGCACTCCTGCCTGGGTAACAAGAGCAAAACTCTGTCTCAAAAAAAAAAAATTATTTTGCATATAGAGGATTAATGGAGAGTGCATAATTTAAAAACAAAAGAGGTTTATTTGGCTCACAGGTTGGCAGAGTGTATAACAAGTGTGTGCCAGTGCTGCTTTTGGTGAGGATTTCAGGAAGCTTAAAATCATGGTGGAGGCCGGGCGCGATGGCTCAAGCTTGTAATCCCAGAACTTTCGGAGGCCGAGGCAGGTGGATCAGGAGGTCAAGAGATCAAGACCATCCTGCTCAACATGGTGAAACCCCGTCTGTAATAAAAATACAAAAAATTAGCTGGGCGTGGTGGTGCGTGCCTGTAATCCCAGCTACTCGGGAGGCTGAGGCAGGAGAATTGCCTGAACCCAGGAGGCGGAGGTTGCGGTGAGCCGAGATCGCACCATTGCACTCCAGCCTGGGTAACAAGAGGGAAACTCTGGCTTAAAAAAAAAAAAAACAAGTCATGGTGGAAGGTACAGAGTAACTAGACATATAATATGGGAAGACACAGAGCAAGTGTGAGGTGAAGGAGCCAGGTTCTTTTAATAAACCAGCCCTCATTTGAACTAATAGAGTGTAAACATTTTGGTTACCAAGAGGATGTACCAAGCCATTCATGAGAAATTTGCCCCCATGACCCAAACATGTCCCACTGTTATATCAGAGCGAGTATAGAAAATTAACTCCAAGGGCCGGGCGTGGTGGCTCACGCCTGTAATCCAAGCACTTTGGAGGCCAGGGCGGGTGGATTGCCCGAGGTTGGGAGTTCAAGACCAGCTTGACCAACATGGTGAAACCCCGTCTTTAAAAAAAAAAGAAAAAAATATTAACAACAAGACAAAAGTATGCCAAACTGCATGGTCTTTATTGCTGGTAGCCAGGAAGGACTCACATCTCTCCAACCCCTAGCCCCGAGCTTAGGGGGAGCCAGGTTTTACGCTGAAAAACCACATCC